GATTTGCAATCCTTCTAAACCTTTAGCAATTTCAAAGAAAAAGTACCACTTTAGATTTAAGTGATGTCTTTCTTTAATTAACATATATGCTTATTTCAACTTGGCTGTTACTAAAAAAAGTTGCAACAGGGGTAGGGTTACCACTCCGTTGCATCATCTTTTATCTTAACATCACTCTGTGAGAGTTTGGGAGATGAGATGACCCACTGTATGCTCATTCTTGCTCAATATAGCCTTTCCACTGCTTAATTAATTCTGTCCTCCCATGTATTTTGTTTTATAAATGACCAAATATTATCAGTGGGTGAAAGGGCCTGACCGGGCCAGTTTAACATCTGGGCTTTTTTTTTGTGCCACACTGATGACATACTGAATGTGTTGACATTGTCAAGAGCGACATTTTCTCAACTGGTCACACACTGACGTGTCCCTTTGCCACAGCTTTTCAGTGAGTAGGAAACTTCTCTGACTTGCCAGTTATCCTTCCGGGGCAGAGGAAAACATCAGTTATTAGAGAGGGCTTAACTGCAGGTAACACAAATCACATAAGGAGGTCACGGGTATGGAGGGTAAACAATCCTGGGATTGCCAACCCCCATAAAGGACCTGTGTACACATAGGTTAATGAGGAGTGTTTTTCCCTTCCTTTTTGTCTTCTTTATTAAACAATTTCTTCCGAGGGTAAGGAAACCATCCCAATAAACACATCAAAACACACTTCAATGCTGAGAGCTTCACCAATGTTATGTATGTCGCCATGGTGATGCATTATGTTACCAACTCCATAAATCTGTTATATCCAGAATTGACACCCGCTTGTATTCAAAACGGCAGGCTCCTGACAACACGTCAGCATGAGAGCAAATGAGAGTGAAAACTAGTTGTTTTGCTGAAATAAGCAAAGCTTATGTTGAAAGCAGATGTTATGAAGCCTAATGTTGCTCCAAAAGCTGCGTTGCTCAGCATTAATGCTGATTTCAAAGAATTCCGGTTGAACTCAGTCCGGTGTAAATGAGCACAGACCCAGCGAAGGAAGCTGTGTACAGGAAGTTTTTTCTTTACAAGGTGGAATTTTAGCTCACATTTGTGGATGCAGCAACAAACTTGAGCTCACTAGCAGTGGTTTTAGCGCTGATCCTGGGCTCACAGTGTTTTCCATTACAGACTTATGGTTGTTTTTTTGTTTTTTTTCCATGTAGGGCCGGCTGAAGCCCGGAGGATCCCAGCTATTCACTGCTGTTTCTCAGCTTTGTCCCCTGCGTACAGAGCTTACTCTTGATTCTTTGAACTGTTTAATTATATGCATTTTGGATGATGACATTCTTAAACTTTTTCCACATCCAGAAACATTATTCTTAAATTGCCGAACCGTTTGCACACGTCGTTTTTCACAGAGTGGTGATTTCCTTTGTCCTCCTGATCAACTCAGCCTCTCTTTCTATTATTTCTTTATTCACGGTTTTTGTTTGTAACTATTTACTCTTTTTTCATACATTGAGTCATAGGGCGCACAAAGAGATCATATTCTTTATGTTATAAAATCTGTCATTACTTATTTTTGTTGACTTGTGTTACTATGTACTCCAAAACAGTTACTTTATGACCCTTTATGTTAAAATATGATTTCCATACTCATCTGTCTGATGTTATCCAGTGTATTTGTTTGTCAATTCAATTGACCTTTTCTGCACAAACACTGAGTGTGCTGTACACAGCACGGTAGTTTCACTTTGTTTACTTCCTCCAGAAACAAAATGAGGAGTATCAGCTCAGGGGACGCATTATAAATCTCTTTAGTCTTTAACTTAAAACTGCCACATTTCTTCTCGTTCTCCATTGACCTCAGCTTGAATAGCCGCTATAAATTATTTGCTTTTTGTCTTTAAGTAAATAGTAGTCACCTATGATCCCTGAATATATTTTTTCCCCGAGAACTTTCAAAGGCATCTTGTCTCGTGACTGAGAATTTGAAGTTAAAAAATAGAGAAACATTTAGGCTCATCTGTGCTTTCCCCTATTTTTCTGGATAAAAACAACTTATCCAACTCAGGGTTGTAGTGGGCAGGAGTTCAACTCGGCTGTCAACGCACAAAAAATTTGATTTTAGGGCTAAATTTGGTCTGTTTGCATCATATCAGTCTCAGTATAATTCTTTGCATTATTCTGATATAAGAACTGACTTATATTGTTATATTGGTAGGAGACAAAGGAATTAAGTTTATCTAAAAAAACAAAGTGGCATTTAACACTTGAGTGTTTCCAAAGTTTAATTTACCAAAAAAAGGATTTTATTATCAGCTGTGGCTCAAAATCCAATTTATTGCACTTCATGCAGGTGAGTGGGACACTGATCTCCAAAAGAGTTATTTGTCTACACAGCTATAAAAATGTTAAAAGAATATACAACCTAAAGAGTTTGTGGGAGCAACTGTGTGGATAGTAGTCCTGCATGTGAGTGCTTGACGCTTTGTAAGAACAATCAACTCTGGCTCAGGCTCATTTTAAGCTATAACTATGTTATTATCTAAACCAGAAGGTTAGAGAACTGCTTTGATTTACTGCCGCTGCATAACTTACCTCACACTCAGCTTTGATGTATTGGAGAGACAGATTTCAGATTTACAAGTCACTCATTTTTATTTGTTTTTGTACATTTGATTGACAAATAGAGTTACTTCACTTGACCAGATCTTTTTTTAAGATATGAAAAACTCTTCGCTGTATTATTGCAGTAAATTTCAGTCACTTCCACAGTGATAACAACAATCACCTGTCAGCCGTCCCTTTGAAACGAGCCCTTTAGAATCTGGGCGTTTTCCTGTCCGAGCTGATTTAAATACGTTGCCAGTGCTACTATCCTCTCGCTTGTTTGCACTGCTTTTTCAGAGAGGGCAGCGTCCTGTCACCACACTGAACTGACCACGGCCGATAGCATGTGTAGACAGGCGGAGAAACAAGGTCAGACATGGGTGTGACTGTCTCACCGACTGCTGCAGAGTTCTACACGCTCTTCCAGATTAATAGATATATATACCCACGTGCGCACGCAGAAACAGAGTGACTCAGGGTTTCTTTTTTTGCTTTTATTCACCCGTTCGATTTAATTACATTTCTTATTCATCGGGTCGGGTTAATTTCCCAAGCTGAAGGTTGGGGGTTTCTGTTTCTTAAGAAACGCCCTGATTTGTGCAGGGAACACCTGTGATACGGCTCTGCGAGGCAAGCCTCAGGTACTAAACTCAGCGTGTGAGGGCTCAAACGCCGCCTGGCACGCACACACGTGCACACACACACAGTCAGATATTCCCTCCGTCTCCTTCAAGGACGCCTGGGGAAGACTTGGAGGACAAAATCACACACTCCCTCTCCCAGTGTCTCAGACGTGCCGCACTTCTAATGCAGACAGAAAAACCTGGTCCAAAGAGACTAGACACACACTTACCCACACTTAAATACACAAATGCCATGAAAGAACTTGCCACCTTCTCATCCTTGCCGGAGAAGCTCGACATTTCTTTTGCTTGTGTTGCTGCTGTTGTTTTTACTCTCTCCTGCTCTCAGCTGTTTGTCGTGCGTTTGTGTGTGTGTGTGTGTGTGTGCGTGCGTGCGTGCGTGTGTGTGAGAGAGAGGCAGAGGGGGTTCACAGGGATTCTTTGACGACCTCATTCACTCCTCTCTTCTCCCCCTCGTCTGCGCCATAGTCGACATGCCCAACAATGAGGCGGGAGGGTGGGAGCTGGACAAAAAAAAAACACTGAATGCATCTTCATTTGCCTGAACTTTTCACACGTCTTTTCTCTTTTGTTGCCAGCCGCCAGTTCACTTCAGTCCTGTGGGCTGCTCGGCCAGTTTCCGCTGGCAAGACAGCTACCAAAGGAACACTTTTCCTCCTCCCTCTTCTGTAACACACTCCACCCCCACCCTTCCCTCTTTTCCACAATGTTAAGCCCATTTTTGGCTTGACATAATCTGAAATGGTACTTAAGTGAATTTATGTCTACCTCAGTGCATTAACTTCTGCTATTTCCTCCTTTATGTTGCTGCTTTTTTGGAGCGAGTGCACTGAAAGAGGGAAGGAGAGGGAGGTAGAGATTTGAAACTCAGACCACGGAGTAGACAGCCTATCAGTATTCAGTAGAGAAAGTGAGTGATGGAGCGAGAGAGAGACGGAGAGAGGAGAGAGAAAAGGAGGAGGGGGTGATGTATCAATATTCTGAGTAGTGTTTGAGGGCAAGGGGAACGAATAGAGGAGAGGGGGAAGGGGGGCGGATGGAAGGAGACTGGTGGGAGAGAGAGTACTTGAGTGAGTCTCTGAGTGTGATTATTTGTTCACGTATACACTGGTATGTGTGCATCCTTGATCCTATCGTTGGTTGCATTACAGTTCATACATTCCGCTGTGGAATGTAACTGAGTACATTTACTCGAGTAACGTCCAAGTTTCCGGCACCTGTTAGAATGTCCAAGTGCCTTCTGTGACTATTGGTATATACTCGTTCGAAAGGTTTAAAGAGGCAGATCCTGGCGGGGTTCTTAAAGACTTCAAACGTTTATTAACACAGCCTCTGTTTAATATTCTGAACCATTAATCTAATCAACCTGCTCGCCAGAGTAAAGCATTTCCATTTTATGTTTCCGGAGACCATGGATACGTATAACCTCAACAATGCTCAGACAAAAGAGAGCAGTGTCTCTCCCACCCTGTCACGTGGTAATGCTCTATGAGAAACGTGTTCGGTTTTCCGAAGCCAAACCCTTGCACGGCTTACAAAATAAACGGACGCAGTCTCCGTGACATCACCCACTGGCTTGTTGACTGCTTTCCTGACGTCTAAAATTTGGCATCAAGGTCACGAAACCAGATGTTACGAGCAAGCTGTTGGGATGAGTGAGAACTACAGGTGCACGCAACTTTGGTAGTGTTCAGTCAATCACAATGTAGCACCAAAATGAGCACTGAGGCGTTTTAACAGAGGAAGTGAAAACTGCATTTACAACCATAAACTCCATTAAAGAGATCTGCTGAAGCCACAAGCTCAGAGAGATGTTTTCCCTTTTCTGATGCATTTCAGAGTTGGATGACGTGCCCTTTTGGTCATGATATAGACATAATTAATACGTACTAAGAGTTCATTAAGAGTCAAATGTGTTTCTATGCAATTCCTGTCATTTTATTGAAAAGACAAACGTCAATGTGGACAGAGGATGCTTTGTCTCTCAAACTAAGTACTTGGATAATAAAGTTTCTCCAGTGGACCTGTTGCCCCGGCTTTCCACTTGTTTTTTTATGGGTTGTGGCACAATGACCGTGAGGACATTGAATTTTCAGACCCTCGGGACATTTTGACCTTACTCCCCATCAATTTACATTCAATCCATTTATAGCTCTATCTCCAGAACTTTTGTATTACTACGTTGTACGAATGATAACAAATCTCCCCGAAAACCTATGTAAAGAAAACAAATGAAAAAAAGATGACAACTTTAAACTGGTGGTCATTCACAAGTTTATTTGACAAACAATAACCCTGGATGGATTGATTTCATTGTTGGTTGAGGGTAAGAGATTTACGATGCTTAAGCTTTGCTACGTCCTCTCGAATGGGTCACTGTCAGGAAGCTCAAGGACAATTTAACTTGTGTAGCATATGCACAATGTGCAGATCTCTACAAAGCATGCACCATAAATAACTCCTTTTTAAAAAAAAATGGCATTGCAAATAGTCTTTTAGCAATAGCTCAAATGAATCACAAAAACACAAGGGAGCACAAAGTCAACAAAGAGCTTTACATGCATACACAAAATTGAAATTCCCTGTCACCCCGAATGTAATATTTCCCACTCAGTGAGTTATTGAGCAGCACACTCAGGTACCGGAGTCTTCCATTAGCCTGCTTCGAGTTCATGTCTATTTATGACATCTGAGTAAGCTTGCGCGATGCACATTGGATAGAGGCAACTCTTGTCTATAAAAAAAACTTTCACCAGAAAATTGCTGAAAAGTTTATTCCTGTTTGGGCGAAGAAGGAAACTTGGGTTGTCATATGAAAGCTGAGACTATGCATATAATTTGACTAATTAACAATACAGAGAGATTTAGAGCGGCCTTTCAGGTGTGGTGGAGTCTGATGTGATTCTAAATATTTGTTTGATGCAGATAGTAATCTGAAATTATTAAGGAAAATATGTTTTGGGGGCATCATTTGGCTGATTCAAATTGAAATTCTCAGTAAAAGTCTTTTTCAGTACAGGGAAAAGGCTCTTTGATGGTTCTTGTTGGACTTCATTCTTCACTTCGAAGAATGATTTTGACACCTGTTGGTAAAATACAGCCTTGGCGGTATGCTTTACCACACCTCTAATGTACAGTACAGAATCATATCCCAAAAGCCATCCCTCCAGACTCACTGGACACCTGATTTATTGCTATAGATTTATTGTTCCCCAGTGAATGACCTTACAGAGCAGCTGAGATGATAGGAAAAAAAAGTCTTCATTATCTTTGTCTTTATTCTGTGTTGTTCTTGTGCTAGCTGTACTAGCATCCAGGGATTTTCCTTGATCTCCTACCAGGTAAGTGTTATTTGTTGTGGTTCCGCTCCACCTAATTGATATTCTATAGACATCCTTCCAATATTCCTCCCTTTCTATAATTCCAAATCTTTTTCCAGATTTAAGATACGATGTGGCATCCTATGCAGTGTCAACCCTGATAATCAGAAAAGTGTGTATTTTCTAACCTCAAAGCAGTAAACACGGTAGGTCAGCTCAGTTCAGAGGTAGGCCTGAACCGAGCATCCGGTGGGCTAAAGGCGCAAATCCTTCCTTTTTGCATTCCAGTTGATGCCGAAATCCCGCCTCGACTCTGCTGGATCTACTGTAAAATCTCCCAACGCTGACTTTAACCTGCACACCTTACCAGCTCATGCATTTATAGAAGAAGAAAGACACAATAAATAAAACTTTTGCCAGTTTGCAGAGATGTGGAAGTACTTCCTTTCCACAGGTAAATAGGCTTAGCCTTTAGACAATAACGACGACCGCTGGTAGCGCTTCCAATAGGATTTTCTGGCATACAAAATTTATGAGCTTATAAAATCTTGTTTACTTGGCAAACAATAAATTGCTCCTTTGACACTTGCAAAAATGCTAATGCTAACTTCAGCTTTACATGTCCATCTATCTTTGGGCATGACTACACTGACTACTTTGTATCAACACATATTTAACCAGGACAGAAACTTGCATTGTGTGATCAAATCTTTAACTTCATGTCAGGATGGAATCTTTAAAGAAATTTTGAAAATGAGCGCAACAGAAATGTAAATTAAACGTTTTTAAATGAACAATGTGATGAAATAGTTGGTATATATCTTCCTTTTATCTGATTACTTATCAGAGTAAAATACATTTTATAATGATTTATTCACCATTATGTTAAAGATTGACCATAAAGAAAAATTTTCCTGTGTAAAATGGAGATATTTCTTCTAATTTGATTTTTTTGTTGACAGAAATGTTCACTGATTGCGAAACTGTGCAGAATTGCAGCCCCGGTTTCAGGAATAAATGTCTCCTAATTTCCAGCCCTGCAAAGAGCTGTTTTCCAACCATGTGGACATCCATCTTGGCCACAGTTTATGGTCCTGGCAGAATCCACTGGTCACTGGCATGGCAGACCAAGGTTGCTTAGAGCAAAGGACTTTAATTTAATTGGCAGTGGAGAAATGCTGTGAATTCAAATAAGAGAACCGGTCAAAAGCACTCAATATTTGCACACATGAATGGAGTCTGTCGCCATGTAGTGTAGAGCCAGTTCCTTCCTGCCTTGAGAAGTGTTACACTCAGAGGAGAACTTTTGCCGACAAATACCGCCGGATGGCAAAATAACAATGGCAAAATGACAGATGAATATTAAACTTTTTTTTTTAATCAAAGAAAAAATTGAGATTTTCAAGTAGAAATTTAGATCAGAAAACATTTAAATTCTCATAGATGTTTTGGAAAACTAACATTATTTTTTCATTCATTTGTATTTGTTGCTGTTTATGGTTTAAAAATATATGGCAATTTTGGGAATGAAAACTTTGAAGGGGGGAGAAAAAAAAAACGTATAAGTTGTGGTAAAGGTTAGAATAAGTGTCCAGTCAGAGCCATGTCCTCCGAAGTGACAAAAAACAAGTGTGTGCAGGACGTGAGTCACATTTTACAATATGTTTTGGATGTGATGGAATCTCCCACTTGTTTCAGGCATCCTCTCTCCTTCCCAGTGTCTCCCTCCGTCTTTTCTGGCTGCTAATCAGCATTTGAAAGGCAGCTTTGACAGTGAGAAAGAAAGTGAGAGAGGGGGGGGGGGTGAAGAGGGGGGTTGGGGGGGTGCACGGAGGTGGGGGTAAACGAAAGCATGAGACACAGCGAGTTAGGGAGGGTGAGCCAGAGAGAGGCTGAGGCGAGGGGGCTGTACAAGCATGCCTTTTATATTTACTAGTGACTGAGAGGGAGGGAGGGAGGGAGAGGGCAGCTGAAGGCAGAGACAACTGGTGTGCACGGCTTTCCCAAGAGGAAATGAAAAGAAAGAAGCTCAGCGAGGAGAGTGAATGAGTGAGCGGGAGAGAGGAAGGGGGTGGGAGGGGAGCACGCCGGCTGGAAGGAGGGAGGGAGGGAGGGAGGGAGGGAGGGAGGGAGACGGAGAGAGAGAGAGAGAGAAAGAGATTCTCACACTGGCTGCGTCCTAATCCGAGTCCATCTCCAAGAAGCAGCGGAGCAGAGTGTTAGTGAAGTGAGTCTGAGAGCCGCGGAGAGCTACATCACCTAGTTCCACACAGTCACACGCACACGAGAAAAAAAGCACACGCGCGCATCCCTCCTCCTGCGCGCTCGCAGACGCGCTCTTTTGCATCGGGGTGGGTGGGGGGGGGGAAGAGTCCACGACGCGTCCGGCTGCGCGCGGCCACGGCTTTTGTGAGCGTGAGGGGGCGACTGGAGCTGCCCCTGTCCCAGCCACCACCACCTCCCACCCCCCCATCCCACCTCCCACCACCCCCCCACACCTCCTCCTCCCATCCCCGGACTCTCACACACACGGTGTCTGTTTGCTGTGTTTAAGCTCCAAGTGCCGCTGGTGGTGGAGGTGTCGGAGGTGGTGTGGTGGGGGTGGGCACTGCCAGGGCAGAGCAGGGGGCACCGAAGAAGAGGAGGAGGAGGAGGAGGAAGAGGAAGAGAGGAAGAGGTAGAGACAAAGTGGATCAGATCAACGACAGCAGACTGGAAATGCCCGTCAGGTGAGTAGATAATGGATCTAACAACTTACAGCCAAGCGCTCACACACACACACACACACACACACACGCATGACCGTATGTATGCACGCTTCCTTCCCACGCGCCGTCGGTAGGATATCCACACACACGCGCGCCCCACTCCGCGGACGCACGCTTATAAAGTTATTTCCGTTCTGCCGGGATCTTTGATGTCAGTTCAAGAAGGAATTTTGGATCTGCTGATTTGTCTCAGATAACAGTTTGAGCTCGTTAGATCTTTTGCTGTATTTCCAAAGTCATTTGGACTTTTTACATGGAAAAAGGAGCATCTCAGGGGTGATAACTTTCATGTGAAAAAAAAAAACAAGGCTGCAGACAGTTGGATTAACGTTACAAAACCAATGTGAGTGACACTGAAATAACTATTTGTCTTTCAAGTGACGAAAAACTGACCTGTTTCTCTGCTCTTACCTTCATTATGCGACAGCCTCTTTTAAATGCGCAGTGTGACTAATTGGGGCAAAGAAAGCATGGATAAATGTGCATGTGCATGGAAGTTATGGATTAATGTTGATGTGTGCTCACTGATCGGATAACGAGACTGTGAGTGTTTGTTGTCCCCCTCAAAGAGACGAGAGCAGTTTTTTTTCCCCCACCACACACAAAGTAGCCCATCAGTTTAAGCTGCCGCTCACCGCGGACGTTCATCCTCTGTTCAAAGTGCACCTGCTTCTGATAGAATTTATGAGCATGTCTGAGAGTGTGTGCATGTGGCTGGAGATACCTCGGTGGAAAGAGTGAGTGAGTGAGCGGGCGTGCGTGGCCGTCTCCACCTGCAGAGGCAGAATTGGTCACAGTTTACTGGCTGGGTAAAAATTCGCTGCCTTCAGGGTGTTTGCAGCAGGTGGTCCAAATTGGCAGAATGACTGTGACAAACATGCAGTGTTCACTGTGGGTGTAAAGTAAATAACGACATCAAGACCCTCTCGTAGTGAAGCCAGGTCTGTGTTTTTCTGTTTGTTTGTTTGTTTCGTAGTATTTCTCTTGTTGTTGTGTTGGATGCTTGTCATTTGAAGTGGAAGTCAGGCTGCCAGAGCAGTGAAACAGGTCTTTTTTTTTTATATATAAACGCTTTTGTAAGATTGCATCTGCTAATAAATCCTGCCAGAATCTGCCTGCATGAGTGCTTTGGTCCATATGAAGGCATTTCGAGGCTTTGTTTTTGTATGCGCCACTGAAAATGTGTGTTCACTGGAAAATTTAACTCCATTTTATACATCCAAAACAACATCATTTGCATCCACAGCTGCTGAGATTGCAGGTGCCGCAGATAAATTCTCACCAAATGACTACCTTAAGTGCAGAGGCACTTGCTTACGTGCCAGGATGAAAAAGCGGGTGAACCCCCGAAACCCCCCCCTGTCAAAATAGTTTTTTTATAACAGCCAACAGAATGATCTTTATACACTTTGTCCTTTTTTTTTTTTTTTTTTTTGTAAATGTAAGCAGTGTATGTTTTTACTTAACAGTTTGCCTCGGCCAAGATTGGATAAGTACATCAGCATGAAGCAGGGTCAGACCAAACCATTGGTACAGTTTATACCCCGGCTCTCTGAGCCACTGAGCCGCTCCATCCGTTTCAGATTTGGCACAAGCAGGACGTTTTGGTTGTGACCCCCCTTTAGGCCCTTTTTTATTAGACCCAGACAGGGGTAATTCTTTTGGATTTTGCATTTAATAAGCTGCAGTTTATGCCAAAGAGCAACTGTATGACAGACCTTCGCTTGGAAGACTTTGTGCAAGTGAGATACTGCCCGGCTGCAGACGAAATAAAAGCAGGCGGCGGTGTGATTAAAGGTAGTTTGGTAGCTTGTGTCAGTAATTTCTCTGGCTTTGAAAGACCAGTCCTGTTTGTCATGACGCAGGTTTTTCTTCTCCTAATTTCGTATAAAGTAGATAAAGTCCTTAATTGTGGCTGCAGCTTTGCGAGCTTATCTCGTACACGTCACTTTTCGTGACTCGCTGACAAGTTCGCAGGTAGACAGACCCCTCAGCTCTCCCTGGCTTCCCTCTTTCTTTTTTCGACTCTTGATATTTTTGTCTCTGTTGCTGGCAAAATACACACTCACACACACCGAGGTGGTCAGTGTCTGGGGTGTTGACAGACAGTCGCTCACACACTTCTTGCTCGTCGTACGCGCGTGTGTGTGAAGAGCGCTGACAGACAGTGTGTGGGTTTGTGACAGAGGGTGTCAGCGCTGTGTCAGGGAGATGTGTTTAGTGTCACACTCTGCTGACCTGATCTCCGGTCGGACTGTCCACTCCGGCCCCGCTGTGGCTCCTTACATAACCCCCGCTGTCATTCACACGCGGGCCTGAAGGGATCCACCAGCTTTTGCACACACACACACACACACATGCAGGAACTTTCTCATATGCACACAATGTATGGCCATCCACAACTGCAGTCATGCTCCCACTGTATTAAAAATCACATCCACAAATGTTTGCTAAACTTCTCTCTTCCTCGCACTCTCACATTCTTTCTAATTTTTCTGAAATTGGTACTTCAACCCCAAAGCAAAAAAAGGAACAAATTTTGATAATGCATGCAGAAATATTCAAAGCACGAGGCTCGGAAACACTAAAGGGATGGGAGCCAAAGTCTGGCCACCTGCACTTGTGCAACACTCATCAGGAGTTTGACACCGTTCTGAACTCTGACATGTGATCCATGCTCATTAACATGTTCCCGTTAGCATGTGGGCTTCTCCGCGCCGCCCAGCCCGAAAGCCCTGAGTGAATGAGAGAGTGCCCCCGCGCTCTGTTCTTTGGCCCGTGGTTATCTGGGGGTCAGCGCTGATGCGGTGCGGCCGGCGGGAGTGGATTTACCAGCATCGGCCCGGATGCAGCGGGGCTGAATCCACTTGGCCGGCTGCTCCACAGTCAGAGGGAAACGCCTCAGTCTCCTCTCTCTACCTTTAGTGTCAGGCCACTATTATCTTTCCCATATGGGGGTGAGGGGGGGGCGGGGGTGCGATTCTCATTTTCTAGTGCTCATTTCTTTTCACGCCAAACCTGGCAGCAAGCTGGGGGGCATTTAACCCCAGTTATCAGCTCGACTTTTGCACTTTTATTGATTCAGCGTTCTCAGGCATAGATATCATAAAAGTCAAGGGTGGTTAGCCTCATGATGGTCTCAGTATAGCGTTTTTTTTATTTATTTTCATGCGATTAGTTTCCCAAAGTTGTCGGTGCTTAAATCCGAATTTTAATTAAGTGGTGCTTTTAATACATTACACCCCCATTACCCCCAAACTAAGAGTTGCATTGAACGCAGGGTTAAAACAATTTGCGAGAGAATATTTTATCATATAAACAGTAATTTAACTAAACATATTTCCATATTCTGTTTGGATCGTTATGCAGTTGCGTCCGCCTTCAGAAGCAATAAATAAAATGTTACCCTGCTGCTTTTGATGCTGCACAGAATGCTCCAGGTTTGTGTTCTTCGTGTTGTGGAACCTGGACCTTTTTAATTACTGTTATCGTACAGTCGTGAATGAAGTCGTGTTTATCGGGGAAAAAGATCTGTTAATCAAATTTTGTCATTTTTCCTGGAGATTAACAGGATACTGCACAGGGGATTGTTTGGCCCCTGCGAGTAATACAGCGGAGGTTCAGCTTCTTTTGTGTAGACTAAGGCCAAGGTAGATGGTAATTATGACAGGCACCGAGTGGATTTTGTACAGCTCCACGCCTGTGAGGAGTGGACATCAAAGCACGCTCACCGAAACCCTCTGTAATAAAAGAGAAGGAGGAGAAAGGTATTGATTACCGAGGGTGAACATTAGCAAATACCTTTCTCTCCTTTTTTCATCCATGTCCTCATCCGTCCATCATTTCCCTCCTTCTGAATCTCTCTTTTACCGTCTGATTTGCCTCCTTCCGCCCCTGCTTATGCTCCCTACATCCCCCATCTGCTCCATCCCCCCCTTTCCATCCCTCTCTCTAATCATTTATTTATTGCTGATCTCTTTATTCTGTATTCTTTCAGTTTAGCGACGGTCCGGTGCGACGGTACAGGGCTGTTATCGCCATTCCTTTACACCCTTCCCGAACCCCTCTTCCTTCTCATCACTGCAGAGATACCTGGGGGCGGGCGGGGTCACAACGGTCCAATCTAACGGCGTATTGATTCCATCAGATAATTAATGACCCAGGCAAGGGCCATGGAAGAGCAAAGAGGGGGTTAGAGGAGAAGGATGGGGGGATGATGGAAAAAGCGAAGGGGGGGGGGTGCGGGGCGCGAGTGTGGGAGGGGTGGCCGACGCCGAGGCCCTTGAGAGTTGGAGAGAACCTTGGGTTTAGAATGATCCGGAGTCGTCAAGGTCAATCGCAGCCGGGGCTCCGATACGGAAACGGAATGCCGAGCGGGTCGGAATACGGGGAGCGGGAATGAAGGGGGGGAGAGATCTTCATGTCCAGCAGCTGTCGATTGATCAGCGGCTGAGAAATTGTACATTAAAAAGTCTTTTGACTTCCAAATCCTGAGGTCCAACCAGGGCCGTAATGCATGATAAGTAGTTTTCAACCCTCCAACCAGAATACCAAACTTCATCTCCCCGGACGCTCCAGACACTCATTTACAACTACTCAACAACATGAAAGGCAAGATAGAAAACTAGCCACATCAAATATTCTGTTCATGTTATTTCCAACCATGTTTTCAACATCTTCCATGATATTGAACGCTCGCTATTTGATAAAATATTATTCGCATGAATATCTTACATTGCTTTTGTGTGTGTGCTTCACTTTTTACCTTTGGTCTGAGATAATTAAAGAAGAGCGGGTGCCGGAGAACCAGAGGGAGCTGTCTAAAAGGAGTTATCAACGGAATTTCTCCAAATGACTAAATGGGGAAGTCCATTTTTTTTTCTCTTTCGGGTATTTAATTTTTTTTTTTCTAAATACTAATAAACCCACAAATCAGTAGAAGAAGACGTGGTGGAACTCGG